GATCCTTTAACTTTCAGATACTGCCATGTAGAAATGTAAACTAAAATAGTGGGATACAGTAGACATTGAACTTACAGACCAGCACTTACAGACCAGCACTATATAAAGAAGTATAATACTTTACAGTATAACAGGACACAATGTCAAAATTAGGAAAGCACTGAAACCAAGCCTCAGGTTTTATGAGTGTATAAGGAAGCACATGAGTCTTGAAATTGTTCACCAAAAAACTGGCTGCTGTTTTTGTTTAATTTCTTCACATAAGGTTGACTATTGGAATATTTGGGTTACTCCTTCTCCTCAAAAAGTTGCATTTGTTTTTGTTTTGAGATTTTAGTTTTGTAGAGAAAAGTTTGTTTTCTAATGGTGAGATGCAGATTTGTACATATTAGAGTTTTTGGTTTAGATTGACAGAGAACTTAGGGAGAGATAACTGGTATAAGAAAAGTAAAACTTGACCAGTTAAATAAGTTTTGAGAGTTTGCAAGAGAGAAAAGCTAGCAGAGATAAGGACAGAGATTACGACCCCATGGAAAAGTGTGTAACTATTCCATTATCTCTGTCAGGGTGAGGAGAGGGAGAAGGCTCAAAACTTAACAGAAAGGTGGCATTAGATATGTTGTCAAGAAAAATAAGGGGACTGATTTGAAAATACCACGCAAAGGCAAGACATGAAATACCAGTAGGGGATCTGTCTAGATTGTATAGACCTGTGTGACTGGAGGGGATGAATAAAGGTGAAATGAAAGCAGAGGGGTATAAAATGGGAGCAATAAATAAGGATGAAATCCTATATGTCGCATTGCACAATTATTGAAATAGAGAGACTCAAATTTACATTATTCTAAAGTGTGGAGTATTTCAAGGGAAGTATTACTAAGAGCAAAGAGATTTGGTAATCATTGTAAGAGATGTCAAAGCCTTGAACTATAGCAGTGGACTAAGAACATGATGGAAAGGAGTGGTTTTAATTAAATGCAAATTGTGGGACTTACTGGTTGGCTGAATGAATATTCTCAAATGAAGGAGAGAGGAGAGTTGAAGAGAGCTTCTCAAATTTGAGTATTATATGAAGTTCTTGTAAAGGAAAAAACCTCTGTGGTCCTATTTAATTAAGACCTTAAATTACCATATATGTCCAGAAATAAGGCAAACAGCAGTGAGACAATTCTGTTTGTCCAGTTTCCCAAAAAGGTTTTTTAATAACAAATATGTAAATTTCTAGATTAAAGGTGAAATGATCAGATGCTTTTTGTAACATGTTTTTTGATTTAACATTAAATCACAATATTGTATAGTAATACTCTTTTCCACTCATGTTTCATGAGATAATGTTGTTCAGGTTTTTTTTTTAGCTACCATTTTAGATGTATGTCTTTGTCAGCTGACAAAGCTCTAGCTACTTTGTCATTTAACAGCTTTTGGAGCATGTGGTTTTCACTTAATATTGTTTGAGATACAGCACTAAAAATTTTGTATGTGATGTTCTTACTGGAAATTTTATCTTAAGTTTATTTATCCTAAGTAGCCCCTTGCTGTTTGTGATTCCCACAGAGTAAATGTATTGCTTTATAAGTGAAATTTAAAACATAAATATATGTATACACAATATAAAATTCAAAGGATATAGGAGAGTTGTTTTGGCTGAAGCCTGATTGATCCCTCTTTCCTTGATATACTAATGGGTGAGCTGAAGGAGCTATCTCTAAGTCCGCTTATTAGACAATGTTCTCAATCAAACATGGATACTAAGTGCTGTGGATACCAAGACAAAAACCAAACCCTGTGTTCATGAAGCTTTGACTGTTTTCAGGGAGCCAGGAAAGTAAACTAGAGTTTGTTTACTGCTTAGTAGTGTAGCCATATATGTAATAGAAGTAAATCACAGGGAAGGGAGGCGTGAGGGAGTATAAGAAATGTTAGCACACATATTGAGAATAGTAACACTTAGGTTAATCTTGACATGCATGAACTAGATAAAGGGGGAAGTGAGGAGGGCAAGGGCATTCCACGCATGTAATTCCATATGGCTTTACTGAATTGTGTGGTGTGTAGTATGTGACAAGGAGAGTCCAAGCCAGAGAGATAAGCTGAGATGTTATCAGTAAGGACTTTGGAATTTAACTGTAGGTTTCAGAGAATCATTAAAGAGTGGAGGGAAAGGGGCAGAGAATGGGGGTGGAGGGAGGTAATCAGACTTGCGTTTTGAACATAATCTCAGCAGCAAGGTGGAAGATAGAATGATGATCAGTTAAGAGTCCAATGGAGGGCTTCCCTGGTGGTGCAGGGGTTAAGACGCAACCTATGAAGCAATCTGCAGCCACTGCAGCTCGAGTTCAATTCCTGGCCGGCCAGGGAAAAACCCACATGGTGGCGGGACAGACCTCTCCTGTCTCGCCCTCTCCTCCCCTCTGCAGTGTACTTCCGTCCGTCCATCTGTCTGTTCTGTTCCCTGCTCTGTCTCTGGTGAATCCTCTCACCCTCCGCATCTCTGGCCTGTACCCCAGCTCTTGTATAAAAATAAATCTTCAAAAAAAAAAAAAAAGTCCAATGGAGTGATCTGGGTAAGAAGTATTAAAGACTTGATTTAAAGTCTTACTGGTAGTAGTAGACAACGAGAGATATTAAAAGTACATTCAGCACTTCCATTTCTAGCAGTAGGACTGAAATAGAGATATAACATGAATAAATCTCCTGCTGAAAAAGAATCCTGTAGAAAATATGTACTTAAAGTCTTTCAGAATGCATCTACTGGCAAGAAAGTAAAGAAGTACTCAGAGGCTAAAAGTGAGATGAAATTGGGAATGCAGATGCTAGCTAGATTTAAATAAGCCTTCCCCATGATAGAATCTGGCCAAACAGAATGATTTTGAACTTCTTTTGATAACCTTGTAGAGTACAGGAAACAAGGAACAAAGTGATTGGCCTTTCTGAGGAGAGGAAACTAAAAGGAGCTGCTCTCCATTATGAGGCTCAGTTTTCGATGTTTCAACCTTGGGATTAGTGGGAGATAACTACTGAGAATTTATAACAGGTTCACATTTCCTATGTCGTCTTGTGAAACTTTAAGTCTGGAAGCCAAGACTGTATTTAAAGTGTTCATAGGTGCCTTACAAAATCAAATCAAATCCTTTTAGTAGGGATATACCTTAAATCTAGCCTTAAAAAATTTACAGATTAACATCCTCATTCCCTCCCCCCAAAAAATCACAGTAAAATATTACCCAAAAAGCACAAAAATTAAGGCACAAATAAGCAAGAGCCAGGAGAAGTAAGACATTGACCCACAGAGACTGCACAAAGCCTATATTCTTAGTAATTCCAATAAATTTGATTAATATGTTTGAAGAAAGATCTCTAAAACATGACCAAGCATATTATTTGGTATAACTGGATTACAACTTCTGGTTATTAAAAAAAAAACTAAAATAAAAAACTGAGCAAACAGGTAAAAACTGATCAGCATAGAGTGAAGAGTTCTAATATGCATCTGACTAGAGTTCCAAAAGAAAATAGTGTGAATGGGTGGAGAATAAGGGAACTTAAATACCATGACTGAGGATTTTTCAGAATTGAGAACAGTTGACAGGCTTTACAGGGTTGAAGCCCAGTGAATCCCAAGGAAGATAAATAAAATCATCCCCAACATATTAGAGTGAAACTTCAGAAGGCCAAAGACAGAGAAGATCTTTAAAGAATGTAGAGAAAAACCACCGATTGCTATAAAAATGGTTTTTTAGTCTGGCAACTTATTCTCCAGCAGCAACAACAGAAGCCAGAGGACACTGGAATGCTACCTTCAATGTACTGAGAGAAAATAGCTGTCAGCCTTGAAATAGAATGTCCAGTAAAATGGTCTTTCAGGAATGAAATAAAATTAACACATTTTCAGATGAGGGGGCTGGGAGGATAAGAGACACAAACAAACAAAAAACACAGAAACACACACCAAGAGACCTTACATAATGAGATTTAGAGGAACATAATTCAGGTAGAAGGAAAATTATTCAAAATTGAAAGCCTGATGAGATGTTTTGTAATGACCACAAATGCTCCATCAAATAGGTTCTACAGTTTTGATTCTAGTACTATTGAACATTGTTTTCCAGATTTTCAGTATTGACTAATGTATAGTAGATATATTTATGGACATGTAGATTTGTTTGTTTGGGCTGGAAGCCTAAATTACTGGAATGGGTTTTTAAGATTTATTTATTTATGCATACAAAAACCGGGGTACAGGCCAGAGGTGCTGGGGTGAGAGGATTCACCAGAGACAGAGTCAGGAACAGAACAGGCAAAGTGACTGAAATACACTGCTGCAGGGAGCAGCAGGTGAGACAGGAGAGGTCTGCTGTGCCATGTATCCATGTGGGTAGCTCCCTGGTAGGCTGGGGCTATGAATAGCTTCACCACCAGGGAGGCCCTTTTTATGTTTATTAATATATGTTGTAAAATTGTTTTTCCTAGAGAGAGTGCTTTCCCAATTTATGTTGCATCTAACAGACTTTGCTTAGTAATTGAGTGTATGATCAAACCACTTTTAAATGAGGATTGACATTTCTTGCCAGGTTTTGACTGTTACATCTTTGGAAAAAAGCCCTATCTCACTTTTCTTCCATTGTTATTAAATTTTTTAAAACAAATTATTTCTAATAAAGTATTTCTTTCTACAATGTAGTCTTTAATTTTTCTTTTTTCACTTTATTAACAAATATATAGTTGGTCTATTGAAAGAAGTGGCAAATACTTCAGTTTTTGTTTCATTGTGATGGAATGCTGCATTTTAGTGGTGCTGCTTTTTTAGTTCTGTATTTTTTATACTAATCAGCCAAAAGTATAAACGTAAACTAAATGAATTTAAAAGTAAGTTGTTCATTCTAAAAGGAAGGGGAAAGTATTATTAATTTGCTTGGAAATTCTGTGCTCTAACAGGAACTGAATATAAGAATGTGTCTTTTTTAAAAAAAACTTTTTTTCCTGTCTTTTTGCTATTTCAGGTGCAAGTGAAAGTGTAGGGAAACATATGCTTGAAGCCTGCAACAATAATCTGGAGATGGCAGTCACTATGTTTTTGGATGGTGGAGGAATTGCTGAAGAGCCCAGTACCAGTTCAGCAAGTGTCTCCACTGTCAGACCACATACAGAGTATGAATTTTTTATTTATTGTTAGGAGATACCCCTTGCCTAAATGGGACTGTTGCATTTTTGCCAATTAGGTTAATCCTATGTTTTTGAAAAATTTAAAAATTTGCAAGCAGAAAATTTTATACTTTCAATTCTCTAGAGCACTGTCATGCCTGTTACTTAATCTTCAGAAAAACCAATAGGATTTCATATCATTTTACAGATGAGAAAGCAGAGACATAGTGATTTTCCCAAACTAAGTAGCAGTTATGGAAGTAAAGTCCAATAAAGCTCAAGTGTTCTAAATCTTTCTACATTCTAAATTTTTCTACATTGTTCCAGAAAGTTTTGCGTTTCCTTGAAAACATGTGAAAAATAATTCTAGTCTTTTATACCTTAGTTAAATGTAAGTTGATCGTTAGAAGAACCATCAGCAGATGCAGCCTATAATATATAGAGAATAGTATCATTGGTGAATACATAGAGAATAGTATCATTGGTGTTTCTGCTCTTTACATTTGATACCTAGGAGAGTTTGAGATGAGTGCCTGTTATGTAAAATTCCATTAGTCTTTGAAAAATATTAGAGATGAATGCTACTTAGAGGGAAACCATATTTTATACAATTTAAAAGATCTTAGATGAGACCTTACATAACTCTTTATAACTCTCATTGTTTACAACATGAAATACTAAAGAAGAAATGGGCAAAAGACATAGATTATTCTTACTAAATAGAAATTTAAAAAGCCAAATAACATTCAGGACATAATTGCTTCTTTTATTGATCTAGCTTGAGATTCTAGAGTAATACTGTTTCCACATGAAGCATAAACTTTAGAGATCACTATTAATATTTAATAAAGTTTTTCTTGTCAATCGTGGCCATGTATTTCAAGTACAATGTTCCATTCTCCCCAAGATAGCTCAAACTTTAATGGAAATCAGTATAAAAGCATGGTTTAATTTATAGAAATTTGAATAACAGGAATTCATAGCTGATTTTGGCAAACATATCTATCCTCACTGTATAAAACTTTTTTAAAAATTGTGTTTAAAACTAGTTTTGATAAATGTCTTTTCCTACTGAATTGGTTATTTGTATTCCTAATTTGATCAGCATTTTAATGTGGTCTCTCTTTCCCAAACTGTAACTTTCAGTCTGTATAGTTTATCTTTTTGTTTTATCCATTTTTTGAAGGTAGCAAATAATCTTGTAACTGATATCCTTAATTATGTGAAATTAAATCTTTCTGTGTAGAGGCTACTACTTAATCCGTCTCCCGGATTCATTTACTTAATCAGATTAAGGTTTATTTTTGAGTAAATTTTATAGATTAAGGTAATTATATACACACTGTTAAATGAAGTAAAGCAAAAGGGAAAGATTTATTTAGGTAAAAGTTTTAAATTTATAGTTTTTTTAGGATAATGTGCTTGTTTTTCTTCATGAAAGAGGATTAATACATCTTTTTACAGACACATTTTCTGTCCCTTCAAATTAAAGTCTGCAGTGAACAAAGATTAATGTCTCTTGGGAAAGGGTATTTAAGATAATTTTGAATTATCCTTTAGCTTTCAGTTATTTAGCTTTTTGTAGATTTCTCTGTCTCAAGGTTGCTCTTTGATTAGAGGATATTATAATTGTTCTTGTTGATTGATAAGCATCATACTTTATTTCATAAAGTGTGTTTTGAAATTCAGAACTGTCAAAAACAGAGCCTCAAGCTCAGTTACTAGAATTGGAAACGCTTGAATCAAAAACATAATGCCTATCTTAAATAGGCTTGTGTTATAAGCAGGAACATAGTGAATTTGGAAACTTACTGTCATTAATGCTATGAACATAAATCATCAGTGTTTAATATTTGAATTCAAACTATTAAGCTGATATTTACAGGGACATTTCCATTTTTACTCTAAAGTATGTTTAAATGAGCATTTTTTAATTGGAAGAGTTGGAACATTAGTATACTTTGTAGAGGTAAATTTTGAAGAATTTATAGGGTTTCAAAGGATTTTGTAGTTTTTCTGTATCTATCTATTAGGTTCTATTCAACAAATAATCCAAGGTAATATCTATGTAGTCTTCTTTATAACAAATTCATTACCTGTTTGAGCTGATTTTAATATATTGTGTCTTTTACTGATCTATTATTTGATGTAGTGGTAATGTAATAATACTTTTATTAAACCTATATTTTTAAAGTAATTTTCCCCCTTTGATAAATTTTCAATCTTTCCCCCCGTATTTTTCTTCGTTCTCTTTCTTTTTAAATATTTGAGCTATCTGTGCCAGGTAATTTAATCCAGTTGGTTTCTATATGGAAACTGTCCAACAATTATTTATCATGATTTATTGTTATTCCTAAAAGTCACTAAATATAGTGGGTTTTTTTTTTTTACTTGTTAATTAGAATATTCTCAATATATGTAGAGAGAGCAGGTAACAAAGTTTTCATTTTGATATTTTCTCATCTTTTTCTTGATAGAGAAGAAGTTCGTGCTCCAATTCCTCAAAAGCAAGAAATATTGGTGGAACCAGAACCTTTGTTTGGTGGTAAGTTCACCTTTTTTCCTTAGCTTTATTTGACTTTATTGTTGACGTTATCATTGTTGAAGCTATTGTTGAGGCTTGCTCAGAGATTGTTACTTCAAGTATAGTCAATTCTTATCTTGTAATTCTCTGTACTCCCCTCATAGAAAGTTATAAAACTGGTTCTTTGTTAAGGAGTGAACCAGATTACAAAGTTGTTATTTATTGCAGAAGGCCAAATGGAGAAAAATGAGCAAAAAAATGCTGTGTTGTAATGGAACTGAATCTATTGGTAGATAGAAAACTCCAGTTAATTTTTTGTTTTTAACATACCTACTTGACTGCAATGTGTTTACTGTCTTGATATGCCTTCATTCTTCCTAATTTCTAGAAGTGCTATTCCAGTTTTGAACAAAGGGTAAAGTAATCCCTAATCTATATAATTATTATTAATTAATCTGTGTACATAGGAAAATTATAAAAATGGAGCATTTAATCCGATTTGAAGAAAATTTATAGTTTTAGTTTAATTAGCCCCTTATTTCCCTCTTTTGAGCCAGATTGTTTTAGGCATTAATTGGTTTATTAAAAAATAGAAATAAAATAGTAATCTATTAGGCAGATACCTAGAAATGTTTCTATATACCTAGAAATATAGTACATATGAGAATAGTAATCCAGAGCGATTTAGCCTATTAAAAGGTAAACTAGAATAAAGGAGAAGAAATAAGTTGAAAGAAAAGAATGAAAAAAATCTAAGTGTATCTTTTGATTTGAAAAGCACTTCAGTTGGGGTTTTTATATGATCTGCCCTTAATTTGGCAGCTTTGGAATTTATTGTAGCAAGAAATCAAAGAATGTACTATCTAGATTCAAAAATTAAGATGAGAGGAAGAATACTATAATTTCTGATTATTGAAATATAAGATGTACTTTCTGAACTGTTCAGTTCAGCCAATCATTGTGCTATTAATATATCAGAAGTAATAAAACACTTCATAATTTTATTCCCATAAAAGAGTTATGAATAGATTATGAAACTGAGGAGTATTGCCCTTGGAAACTGTATTTTCTTTATTGCATGAGAAAAGGCCGAATATTCATTGGGGCAGGCTAGAGAAAATAGATTATGTACTATTTTACTATTGAATAGAGGCAAAAGAGTTCTCATTGAAACCCCACATTCCTACTGTTACCCTCTGGTTTGAATGGGATAAAAATGATTTTATATGGTTAGGTATCATGGATATGAAATTTCTAATATTCTAATTGTACATGTCTAGTTTGGTGCCACTGCCCTGTTTTAATTAAAATACAGCAATTTGACCTGTCATTGTTTCTAAACCATTGTACCAGTATCAATACAGTGAAAAGTGCAAATAACTTCTTAGTATTATTTTTTTTAAGATTTGTTTTTATTTATACAAGCACTGGGTACAGTCAGAAGTGCAAGAGGGTGAGAGAATTCACCAGAGCCGGAGCGGGAAGCAGAGCAGGCAGAAGGCCCAAAGTACACTGCTGAGGGGAGCAGCGGGCGGCAGGAGAGGTCTGCGCGCCATGCGGGACCCTCCTCTGGTGGCCGGGGAGCAGCCGGGGATTGAACCAGTGCTGCAGAGGCTGCGGGCAGCTTCGCAACCCAGCGCTCAACCGTTGCGCCACCGAGGAGGCCCTAACTTCTTAGTATTATTATGAAAAAACTTTGATCATAACAGAGACCCTGAAAAGGTTAATAATCCCCAGACCACACTTTAAGAATCATACATTAAATCAATACTGCCCCCCTTCCCCTTGGTATTAAAAAAGATGAAATCGTGTCCTTTGAGGAGGTGATTATGCTAAGTGAAGTCAAAGTGAAAGATAATTACTGACAGGATGGTTTCACTTGTTTGTGGAATACAAATAACCAAAGAAAACAAATTGGCAAAACATGACAAAAATAATCCTTAGACTCTGTGAAAAATATTGGGGGATGGGGGTTGGGGAGGAAGGGGGAGAAGAGGAGAGGAGATAGAAAGGGTAAAGGTGACCAGGAAGTAGTAATGGAACTTTTGTAGAGGGTGTATAAGCATGTGCACATGTTGAGGTGAAGCTGTGCTTCTGAAAAGTATATAGATTTGCAAACAAATGGTTAATCAATAAAATTTGATAGTTAAAAATGTGAATAAATCAATACTGCCCTAAGAAGAAAACAGTTCTCCAAAGGCCTTTTACAAGTTACAATTAGTTCTAATAACTAAAGTTAGGACTTCCTAACCAGTCAAGAGCCACATGTTTGAAGTTTTGAAATGATTATAGCTTTGGCTGGGACCTTGACAGGCACCCAGATAAGCCATACTTGGATTCCTGACCCACAGAAGCTATCAGATAGTTATTGTTTCAGGAAGCTAAATTCTGGAACTTTTGTCCTGACATGTAAAGATTTTCTAATGAGATTAGTGGTGACTTTTAACAATAGTGATTTTTAAAAAAATATTACATAATGAAATGGTCGTTATTTGGAATATTTGTATAACTCAGTGAACAAATATTTTCAAATGACCAATGTAAGACATTACAAAATCATACATAATTAAACAAGATCTGTTCAGACTCCAAGGTGGGTTGCACATATATTTACTCTCTATATTGCTGTGTGTGCATATGTATATATATCTTACTGCATAACAAATGCTCCAGAATTTAGCATTTGTTCCTAACTGCAGAGCAAATGAAAGCGCCAAACAGGATAAGTTGGGAGCCAGTATCTTATCTTGTAACCTGATCTTGAAAGTAGCATCTCATTCCATCACCTCTGCCACATTCTATTTGATCCTGCTCATATACAAGTTATTCACATACAGGTTATAGATACTGGGAGATGGGGATAATTGAAGATCATCTTAGTGCCTGCCATGTAGACCAATGGGTTTTTAGTGGAACAGTCTACAAAAGTTCTCTGGTTAAGAGTTCAGAAGTCATGGACCTCCCCGGTGGGGCAGCAGTTGAGCGCTGGGTTGCAAAGCTGCCCGTAGCCTCTGTAGCGCCTGTTTGATCCCTGGCCACCGGGCAGGGGTCCCACATGTCATGCAGACCTCTCCTGCCGCTGCTGCTCCCCTCAGCAGTGTACTTCGCCAGTCTGCCTGTTCTGCTCTCCGCTCTGGCTCTGGTGAATTCTCTCACCCTCCCACGCTTCTGACTGTACCCAGTGCTTGCATAAATAAATAAATCTTAAAAAAAAAAAAAAAAGTTCAGAATTCATGTTATGAAATTTGGTGTGGTATCAAAGGAGGATATTTACAATCATGTAAAAACACTGCTGAAATACTCCTCCTTTTTACAACTACATGTCTATGTGACAGTGAATTTTAATTTCTTTCATGTGCTTGACCTAGAATTAGCCACAGATTTATACAGAAGCGCATCTGAAAGTCCATGTGTCTTTTCTTAAAGACAGTTTTTAAAGAGATTTTTGAAAATGCGGAACAGTACTTCTCGTCTCACTATATATTTTTTCCTCAATTTGTCCCACTCTCCTATTTTGACTGTGAAGCTCTTTTTGAGTCTCTTTCAGCTCTTTGTAGCTTAGCCTCTTTGACTTCCATGATCAGCATTCCTGTTATGTGCACAATAAAATGAGAGTATAAAGAACTGATGTTTGCTGTTTGGAAGAGTCAGGACACCCCTTATTGAAGAGGCAGGCAGGAGTAATAATGGCCCAGTGTTGTGACCTGAGGAGAAGTTGTTGCTTAGATATCGCATACATAAAGGGGAAACAAATGCAAGCAGGTTATGAGCCCAAGAAATAAGAGGTTGGATAGACTAATCCATACAAGGGGCTAGTTAGAGACCTTTGTGAGAAGGTAGGGGGGAGGTGTTAAATAATGTTGAATGTTGACTGTCCTGCCTTGGGCAATTTGAAAGTAGAATACTGTCTTTTATATACTACCTCTTCAATAATATACTAATTAGGTAGCTATCCTAATCTAATGCTAAGATACCCATACTTTTTTTTTAACCCATACTTTCTTAATTGTTATAATTAAAAAAGTATCTGAGACTAGTTTTAAGGTGTTTTTGAGAAGCTGTATTTTCCTGTAAGAAACAGATATATTTGAAATAAGAACTCTTGATCAAAAATAGTTCCAAGATTGAAAAGAATAACATCCCTCATTCCTTTAAAAAGGAAAAAGTAACTCAATGTTTAAAGTTTTTTTAAGATTTATTTTATTTATGCGTACAAGAACTGGGATGTAGACCAAAGGTGTAGGGGTTGAGAGGATTCACCAGAGACAGAGTGGGGAGCAGAACAGGCAGATCCACTGAGACTCACCACTGAGGGGAACAGTGGGCAAGACAGGAGAGGTCGTCTGCACCATATGTGGGTCAGCTCCCTGACTGGGAATCAAACTCATGCTGCAGTGGCTGGCAATAATAGCTTGATAGCGCAGAGACTTTAACACCTGTACCACCAGAGAGGCCCTCAATATTTAAAGTTTAAAAAAATTTAAATAAAATAGAACTTAAATTTAAAAATTCAATACAAAACTAAACTATTGTGATTTTTAAATATTAATACTGATAATACTGATAAATGCATAAATGTAATGTATTAAAGAAAAAGATTTTACATATAGTTCTGTATTTTTTGTTAATTTTTTTTCTTTTTACTCAATAGTCCTTAGATAAAAAGAATTATCCCTATGTGTAGTGGCATAATACAGGCTGTTGGGAAAGATGCTTTAAAGTGGAGTGGGCAACTTAACACTTTCTATCTAATCTTACTAGTCATCAGTTAATAACAGGGAACATTGTTCTGGTTATACACTGGCTAGGCTTGGCATAAGCCAGCTTAATAACTTGTTACCCATATTGTCCGTATTTGTTATAATTTATATAAATGATCTGATAATGATTTAAGAACACACGCATGTGTTCATGTGGCTGGGGATTGAACTTATGGTGCAGTGGCTGTGAATAGCTTCATAGTGCTGAGACTTAACCCCTTGTACCACAAGGGAGGCCCTCTTCCTATCTTTTACATAAGTTTGGTCAAGTCTCTTAACTGGATATTAATTTTCTCATTTGTGAAATGAAATGGCTTGGCCAACGATGGCTGAGTTACAATATCTGAATGCCTTCGGTGTTTGAAAATACATGTATTTCAAAGGAGGTACCATAATGAATCTGTAAGTTTTTAAAACAGTAAATACTTTTATTAAGAAAGCTTGAAGAATCAGGGGGCCTCCCTGGTGGTGCAGGCGGTTGAGTGCCGCACTGTGGGGCTGTCTGAAGTCTCTGCAGCAGGGGTTCGATCCTGGCCCCCTGGGGAGAAACCCACATGGCATGGCAGACCTCTCCTGTCTCGCCTGCTGCTCCCCTCAGCAGTGTATTTCGTCAGTCTGCCTGTTCTGTTCCTTGCTCTGTCTCTGGTGAATCCTCTCACCCTCCTGCGCATCTGGGCTGTACCCTGGCTCTTGTATAGATAAATAAATCTTTAAAAAAAAAAAAGCTTGAAGAATTGTTTGAAAATTAATGTATCAATTCTGTTTTTTCCCCTAAAGCTCCTAAAAGGCGACGACCTGCACGCTCAATATTTGATGGTTTCCGGGATTTTCAAACTGAAACTAGTAGGTATCTATAGACCAGTTTATCATTTTTTTCTCCCCTTACCTTGTCTTTTTCTCTCCCCTGTTCTTCCCCACAGATAAAAACCATGAGGTAGAAAAACCCATATGCTACCCTATAGGTTAATATCCTAATTTGTTCTATATGATTAATATTAGGCCCAATTACTTTGAGGATTCACCATATTTAAAAAGTGAAATTATGAATTCAGTCTACGATTATTACTACTTTCCCCTTGAACTGAATTATTCCAAATTCTAACCTACTTGGTTATACAAAAATAATGAGATTGATAAAGATAATCTAAAAAATCTGGTAATTTACAAAATCAGTTTTTGGATGAGCATTTAAAATGCTGACTATAATGAAATAAATGGATCTTCTTCAAGACCCTGATATTTGCCACTTAATGGAATGACCACAATGAAAAATGGTTATTGTAGGGGATTGAAAAAATAGAAGAAAAAGCCACTCTACCCAAAGTAAGTGGTATAAACATTTGGCTAAGTTGTTTGGAAAAATTTATATCTTTCTGTGGCATAAGTTAGAATAAGAATTATGGCCTTCTAGCAGGTTTAATGCTGATTTAGCAATGAAATGTGAAAGAATAGTAGTTATATTTATAGAATATATGAAAAACTCTTGGACCATGCTTCATTTTTTACTTGCTTTATATTGAGTGCATTGAAGCACAGATAGGCGTTATAACTGTGGAGATAGTTAAAGGGGAGCCCAAACTCATTTAGGTCATGCAGCGACTCCTGTTCCTCACAGAAAGTGACAACAATGGTCATCCTGTCTTATTTTGAGAATCTTTAAAAATTGGGAATGTAGCTAGAAATGACAGATAAATTAGGATCCCTTTTAGAACTAGATTAAGGGAGATGAAAGTTTTCTCATACTAATTTTAGTTTTGAATATGTTAAGGCATTTGTTTTGATTGGATGATCCTAATTTAAATTTCTCCTTTTATCCTTTTTTGACTAGAGATTTTCACCAAGACTTAAGACTAGCTTCCCAAATCTCCCTTTGTATTTTTCCTCTTAGAACTTTGCATTTGAGGTCAAGCACATTTTAAGTAATTCTTGCAGTTGATGCTTTTTAAAAATTAATATTGCATAATTTATTTATGACTGTGGTTAATTGAAAACTTTCTTAAACTCCTGTGTTATAGTTCGGCAAGAACAGGAATTAAGAAATGGAGGAGCAATAGATAAGAAACTAACTACCCTTGCTGATCTCTTCCGGCCACCCATTGATTTGATGCATAAAGGCAGCTTTGAAACAGTAAGTTGTTGATGATTCTAAGCCTTATCTGTGCATCCTTTTGCATTTTCTATGTTTCAGTTTGTGTTACAAATTGGGGAGTCTCTTGGAGATCATTTGAGATATTTGATCCTACAATCTCGGTCTTAAAAATCCACTTGTAAGAAAATGATCCCATAAAAAGAAGCCCTCAGCAACTTTTACTGAAATATTTAGGATGTGTTGCAAACTAGAATTAGCACATGCCTAGTAATTAGAAATGTGTATGAAAATTTTGAAGATAATAAAGCAACATAAAGTAATTTATACACTGGTTAAAGGAGAAGTATGTTTGTGGATAGAGACTGGAAGAGATTATATGATAGAATTATGTGACTCATTGACCTTAAGTTTGTTGAATCTTTTTCAGGGGTTTAAATGTGTAGTAAAAATTCAACCATAACAACAAATAATAGTGAATAAAAGAAAGTTACTTTAAATTTGAAAAATGCTTCAAAAAGGAGTGTTATATACACATAATGAATTAATGAAAATAATGTGTATATATATATATATACAAAAAAACCTAGAGGTCACCCTTGAGGGAAAAAATTCAGTATTTGTGTGAAAAGGGGTAAATTTCTGAATTCTGAAATTCAGAATTGCAGTTACCAATTTGAAATTGCTACTAGTAAATGATGTATAACTTTTGCAGGCCAAAGAATGTGGCCAGATGCAGAATAAGTGGCTCATGATAAATATTCAAAATGTTCAAGACTTTGCCTGCCAGTGCCTCAACCGTGATGTGTGGAGCAATGAAGCTGTGAAGAATATAATCCGGGAACATTTCATTTTCTGGCAGGTGAGATGAATCAGTTTTTGCAGTATTTTACCTTTTTGGTAATAGGATATTGGTGAGGAGGAACTAGGTTATAGATGGGGGTGAGGGGAAGAAATGAGTTAAATTATAACATGAAAATGTAAAACCCTGCCCATAATAAGTATAAAATAGTAAGTATAAGTGAAAGAGCAACAGTGAAGAACTCCCAAGGAAAGGAGGGATAAAAAGATCTAGGTCATGTGATATTGTATGTCTTGATATAGTATACAACTGAACTGTTCGATAGAAATATAATGTGAGCCTCGTGTGTAATTTAAAATGTTCCAGTAGTCACATTTAAAAAGGTCAGAAGGCGGGCCTCCCTGGTGGCGCAGCGGTTGAGCGCTGGGTTGTGAAGCTGCCCACAGCCTCTGCAGTGCCAGTTCGATCCCTGGACGCTCCCCGGCCACTGAGGAGGGTCCCACATGGCGCGCAGACCTCTCCTGCCGCCTGCTGCTCCCCTCAGCAGTGTACTTCGGTCCGTCTACCTACTCTGCTCCCCGCTCTGGCTCTGGTGAATTCTCTCACCCTCCCGCGCTTCTGACTGTACCCAGTGCTTATATGTATAAATAAATAAATCTTTTTTTAAAAAAAAAGTATAGTTTCTCCCTCTTTTTAAAAAATAAATAAATAAATAAATAAAAATAAAAAGGTCAGAAGGGGCCTCCCTGGTGGCGCAAGGGGTTAAGAAGCAACCTATGAAGCTATTTGCAGCCTCTGTAGCACGAGCTCAATCTCCGGCCTGCCAGGGAGTAACCTGCATGGTGCAGCAGACCTCTCCTGACTCACCCAGTGCTCCTCTCAGCAGTGTGTTTCAGTCAGTCAATCTGCCTGTTCTGTTCCCCAATCTGTCTCTGGTGAATCCTCTCATCCCCCACACCTCTTGCCTGTACCCCAGCTCTTGTATGCATAAATAAATAAATCTTTAAAAAAAACAATAAAAAGGTCAGAAGAATGAAATTAATATAAAAATAATTAAAATAGTAATGAGTTCTGGGGGGCGTTTAGCCTTAAAGATCTGGCATGTATTTTATGCTTAAAGTATGACTCAGTTCAGACTAGCCTCATTTCAAGTGCTTTAATGACACCTATTGATAGTGCTAATGTAGATCTTTTAGTAATGGAAAAAGATTTGACTGACTTGGATTTTAGCTGAGTTTGATAATCTAGTTACATATGTTCAACTCATCACTTACTCTTGCTGGCTCTAGTTTTCTTTTTAAATTTTCAAGCTAAGGTTACATGCTCTTGTTTCTGTTTATTTATGAAAAATCATAGAAAATAAAAATGAAAGAAGTTAATTTTACCCACTATAAAATATACTACTAATGTTAATAACTTGCCTGTTCATGTTTATAGGCTCCTAAACTCAATATGTTTATAGGCTCCTAAACTCAATGAATGGTAGCATTTTATTCAGTGACCACTGATTATCTTTTCCTGGTACTATGTTAGGCACTTGAGGTTATGATCTTAGGAATTATGTTATGAATTATTAAGATGATGGGTGACAGTCAGGACTCATATAGGTGGTCAGATAAATAAGAAGAACAATACCTTTTCAGAACTGGGAAGGAAGAGTGGATTGATAATATTAATAAATATTTTCAGAAGGCACTAAGTGCAAGAAGTTGAGGGATTCAAACCAGATGATCTTTATTTTTCTCTGTGACGTAGTGAGAGCCCATTATATACCAAATATATAGCTGGAGAATTGTTTTTGGTGTATAACAAAGATATAGTTGGTATTTTTTTTAAAAGACTAACTTTATTTTTTTTATATGTATCAATGATTTAACCAGGTTTATCATGACAGTGAAGAAGGTCAGAGATACATACAATTTTATAAGCTAGGGGATTTCCCCTATGTTTCTATTTTGGATCCACGGACAGGTAAGATTTATATTAACTTACAGCCTTTATCTATAGTTTTATCTTTCGGTTACCTAAGTAATTGATCTTTAATATTTGACTGGCTCCAGTTTCAGAATAGTCAGTAATTTAGGTGAAGTGTTCTTATTCTGACAACTTTGGGTATTGTATAATACTGTTCTTTCAAAGAGTAAGTGTTATATTTATCTTTTTTGTCATTTTTACGTAAGGTATCAGATTTTCTATTTAAAATACTAAGATTCATTTACTGGTTGTAATCCTACCAGAAAAGCAGTGGATATAACTGGTTTTATTATTAATTCATTGAGTTTTATATAGATACTGCTTTGCTGAATTTTTCACTCTAAATGACAGTGATAATAGCAGGTAAGATAGTGGACCTATGGTGATAGCTGGGAACTCTTAAGATGGTAACTTAAGATGGTGAAGAGTGGGGATATGTAAATTTTAATTATGCATACGCTGAAAGAAATGCTTGATCAAAATGTTCAGAAAAAGTGTTGATTTTAGGGTCCTCCCTGGTGGCCTACGGGTTAAGTCTCACTACTATCACCACTGAGCCTGAGTTTAATCCCCAGCTAGGGAGCTAACCCACATATGGTGCAGCAGACCTCTCCTATTTCACCCACTGCTCCCCTTAGTAGTACATCTGCCTGTTTTGCTTCCCACTCTTGTCTCTGGTGACTCCTTTTACCCCCACCCCAAATCTCAGGTGTACACTCCAGTTCTTGTATACATAAATAAATAAAAGCAAATCTTGAAAAAAAAAAAATGTGTTGCATTTTATTATATGTCCTGGCTTTTAATCTTCAGGTCAGAAGCTAGTAGAATGGCACCAATTAGACGTATCTTCTTTCTTGGACCAAGTAACAGGATTTCTGGGTGAACATGGACAATTGGATGGACTTTCTAGCAGTCCCCCCAAAAAATGTGCCCGTTCAGTAAGTATAACTAAGTAGTAGTGTTGGGCAATTAGGTGTAATTGTATATAAATGTCTTGTGTAAAATATTTGGGGTTAAGATAGTAAAGATAATGTAACTTCAGAGGGGAAAAAAATCCAGAAGAAAAAAAAGATTAAATAGGGGATAGTTAAAATTTGTGTCCATACAAATCTTAGATTTCCTCCTTATATTTTAATGATTTCCCACATAAGGGTCTATCTTCTCAATGAAATCATAAGATATTCTCAGTCTCCCTTGCAGCTAGGGTATAGGCGTGTAACCTAAACCTGATTTTAGAAGCAGACAATTTGAGCAAGAGGACTGATTTGGCAAGACGAGTGACAGAAGAACCTACTTAAGAGGGTAACGCTATTAGGAGTTTTGGTACCTACGTCCAAGTAGCAGGGAAAGAAGTAATTTTGCTAGAACAACTCTCATGGTGTGCTTGAGCATTATTATTGGTTATGTAGCTTTAGATCCTGGCTCTCTGGCCTACTCAGAGATTATTTTGATATTTAAATAACCCTTTGCACTCCGAACCATTCTGGACATTGGCTACCAATGTCCCCTGAGAGGGGACAGCGGAGTGCAAAGTTTTAATTTCTATAATGTTATTACTAGGAAGAGACCTATTTGATAATTGGTATCAAGATTAGTTACAAGTAAGAGACCTTCAGAAAAATCTCACAATGGTAATAGTTCTGTTCAGGTGTGATGGTAGTGAGGATACAGTTAGTTTTAGAGGATGTCATTTTAGCAGTCTATATCATGCAGTGATGAAACAGCTTCTTAAGTTTTCATTTAGAATGAAGTGTCCATTTAAGGAAAGGCTATGTATAGCTGCTTGCCAGGGGTGGTACAGAATTTTTTTTCTCTCGTTACTCAGAGACGTTTTATTTAGGTGGGTATAACAGTACAGAACTAAAACATTGTTTCACCTTATCTGTAGAAGGTTTTGTTTGTTTTACTAGTCAGAAGTTTTCCTTAGAATTTTTTTTTTGGTAGAATTCTTTATTAAGGCAGAAAAAAGGTGACAGTTTTATCTTTGCCCTAAGAGAACTTATCTTTTATAGTCATAAAGCTGATATTGTCAAAAGCTAGAGCATGAGCTTGTTGAGTTACTAAATTACAACAAAAATTGAGTTTATAACCTTATCGGCTCTCTAATATAAGTTAAGGCACTTAGTGGAAAAATGTAGGACCATAAAGTTGGATAAATATATAGGATGATTTGGGTAATGGGCACCTCAGATCCCACTTCTCATACTAAATTCTTTAAATGTTACAAACTTTCTTAAATGATGACAAAAGAAACACTAACAAATAATGACTTAAACAAGGACGACATCTACTTTGTTCAACCAGAAGTCCAGAGGCAAGTGTCTAGGGCTGGACTCCTTTGCTCCCCCCGTCCCTCACAATCGTTAATATAGGTTTTTGTCCTCATGGTCAGTGTTATACATCCAGGTATCCTATCCAAGCACGCATAGACAAAGAGGAAGGGTGTGGAACTTTTATTGCAAAAGTAATAGCTGGCCAGAGATAAGAGTTTTGTGTATTATAGAAGACACATTTTCTTGAGCAAACAGTTGAGGTTCTTTTAATAAGGAAGCAAAGAAGTCTGTTGGTATAAGATAGAAAACTAACAGTATTCATCATAGTATCATTCTTTAATGTAAACTTACTTACAACACTGCCTGTCATGTGGACACATCTATATGCGTGCGTGCGTGCGTGCGAGAAGTGTTAGGTTTATTTTATTGTAAACAGTTTTACAGCTTTAAAGCATAGCTATAAAGTATAAATATGTAATAAACTGAACATACTTAAAATTTACAAATGAGCATCTTTTCATGTGCTTATCGCTAACTTTTCTGATGAAGTGTCTGTTCGGATCTGACTCATTTTTGGGGGGGGCGTCATATATCGTAATGCATTTTAGTGGTTCTTTTTATACTCTGGATATAAGTCCTTTGTTGAATATATGGCTTGCAAATTTTGTCCAAATTTTGTTGCTTCCTTATTCTTTTCATGATATATGTCTTTTGAAGAGCAAATTTTAGAATTTGATGAAATAACTTTTATCAGCTTTATGCTTTGTACTTTTTGTTTTATCTAAAAAGTCTTAGACAAAACCAAGATTTTGTCCCCTTATGTTTTTTAGTTTTAGCTGTTAAATCCATGATAAGTATTTATTTATGGTGGCAGGGGAGAGTAGGATTTTTTGTTTGTTTGCCTATCTCAGTGAACATATTCCATCAACATTTGTTGAAAAGATTTTCCTTTCGCCATTGAATTGCCTTTGCATCTCGAAAATTAATTGTATGGTAAGGGTTTATGTATTTTTAATGATTGATATGTGCTTCTTTACATCAGTATTTCACTGACTTGCTTACTATAGCTTATATAAGTCTTGGATTTGCATAGTGTTGAGTCTTGTAACTTTGTTCTTTATAGTTGTGGTTTTTTCAGGTCCTTTGTATTTCTATGTAAGTTTTTGAATCCACTTGTCGCTTTCTACAAAGAAACTGCTGGGACTTTGGAATTACCTGGGCTATGAATCATTTTGAAGGGAATTAACACTTTAACAATACTGAGTTTCAGATCCATGAACATAGCATGTGTTCTCCATTTGTAGTTTTATTTATTTATTATCCATTTTAGTTTTATTTATTTATAGTAGCCTTGCTAAACTCACTTTTTAGTTCTAGCAGTTTTTTTTTTTTTAAGATTCTAGAATTTTCTATATAGAAATTCTAGAATTTTCTATATAGATAGCTGTGTTTTCAGCAAATTGTTTTATTTTACTTCTTTCTTGCCAGTCTTTATACCTTTCATTTTTTTAGCTAGGACCTCCTTAATTTTTTTCTCATGTTGGCATGAAATTATTCAGTCTTTCATTATTAAGATTGATGTTCGCTATGTTTCTTACAGATACACTATTGGGTTGAGAAAGTTTCCTTCTATTTCTAGTTTGCTGGGTTTTTATCATAAGGGAATTTTGTCATGATTTTTTTATGTTTAAGACGTATTGAGCTGATTGTGTGGTTTTCTTTTTTAATGGTAAGCCAACCTTTCATTTCTGGGCTAAAATCCACTTGGTTTTTGATATATTTGATGTCAGGTTTGATTTGCTAAAATTTTGTCACTAATTTTTGTGTGTATGTTCATGAGGTGAAAGTATTTCACAATGAGGTGAAAGTATTTTTTCTTGTTTTCTGTAAGAGTTTTGGGTAGAATTGATATTTCTTCCTTAATATTCAATGGCATCTAGAGTGAAGCAACCTCGGCCTGCAGTTTTCTTTATGGCTAGTTTTACACTGCAGATTTAATTTCATTAATATGTGTGGGGTTACTCTGGTGGAATTTGTCCATTACCTAAGGGGTTGAATATGTTGACATAAAGTTATTCATTCATTTCCTTGTTATTCCTTTAATGACGGTAATGTCTGTGGTGATGTCCTCCTTTTTAATCCTCTTTTTGATAATTTGTGACTTTTTTCCTAAGTCAGGCAAGAGGCTTTTGAGTTTTACTCATTTTTAAAGAACCAGCTACAGTTTCATTGATTTTTTTTTTTTCCTGTTTTCTAAGTCATTGATTTCTGTTCTTTCTGTTTTTCTTTCTGTGTATTTTGGGTTTAAATTTATTTTCTATGTAGATATGTTTTTATTTAAGGTGGAAGCTTTGGTTGTTCATTTGAGAGCTCTCTTTTATATTTTAGGCATTTAGTTTTATAATTTCTCTGTAAATGCTGTTTTAGTTCCATTCCAAAAATATTTTCTGTAAGGGAAAACTGGTAAATTGAATATTTTTAGTTGGACATATTTTGTCTTATAGACATGATTAGAGTTCTGTAAGTAAGGAATCAGAGGAGAGTGGATATTGGATAGGAAGTCAGCAGTGTTTGCTCTGGACAGCCTAAAATCAAACTACATATTGTGCAATTTCATTGTTAGACCCTCAGTCCTCTGTGCCATGCATGCAGGTCAAATAGGCACATCTACATACTTGTTTTAGTAGAAAGTCACCTTAGAGTTATTTAAAATTTTTTCTCTATAATACTTTACTATGTGAGTGGCAGTTAGTAAAAAAAAAAAAATGAGGTTCCTTAGTTTATAATTTCTTAGGTTGCTAGTTTGTTAGCAACCCATACATTTTTTACATTGTTTTGAATCAGATCTCAGAATTCATTATTTCATTCAGTAATACTTCGGCATATATCTTCAAAAGGTAAAAATTTTATTTTTTAATAATCAGTACCATGAGCGCACCTATAAGAGATTAATGGTAATTCCTTAATGTCATAAATACCTAGTGTTCAAGTTTTGGTTATTTTATGGATTTTTTTGTGTATTTTTTGTTGGAGCTAAATAAGTTCTACTCAGAAACTCACAAAAATCTGTGACATTAGAACTTAAGGAGAAAAGTATTGAAATTTGTTTTCCCATGTTTACTATATTGTATTTTGTTTTGAGTTTAGAAATCTATTAGATTTTTGCTGAGTAGTTATTGATATTTGTGCCCAAGCAGTGCTAGCTGAAGACTACAGTAATCAAAGTAGCCATCCTTCTCTTTGTTTAGTCATTTTAAAGACTAATGTTTTGGTCTTATATATGTATTTAAAATCTTAATTTTTGTCTTTTTCTGGACAGGGAATAACTTTTTTTTTTTTTTAAACTCATTTTGATGCAAAAAAAAAAAAAAAAGACCTGTGTTTTGCAGCATCTTTATGCCAGGTGGTATGACAGGTTTTTATTTTTGCTTTTAAAATATCCATTCCAACCTGGCTGTGTAAGACAAAGTCATTGCCCTCAAATAACTTAAATTTAGTAGAAGATGTATATTCAGCGGATAAGAATAATGGTAAGCTATTATATTTTTTATGCTCTATTTGACTTAACTATCTATTTTTTGGTTTAACTGTTTTCTTTTCTTTCCACCCATGTTTTATGACTGTATCTCGCAGGAGAGCCTTATAGATGCGAGTGAAGACAGCCAGCTAGAAGCTGCCATCAGAGCCTCCTTGCAAGAGACACATTTTGATTCAACACAGACAAAACAGGATAGCCGCTCAGATGAAGAATCTGAATCTGAACTTTTTTCTGGCAGTGAGGAGTTCATATCCGTTTGTGGCTCTGATGAAGAAGAGGAGATAGAGAATCTTGCTAAGTCCCGAAAGTCTCCCCACAAAGATTTGGGGCATAGAAAAGAGGAGAACAGAAGGCCATTAACAGAGCCCCCAGCCAGAACTGAGCCCGGGACAGCCACAAACCACCAAGGATTACCAGCTGTGGATTCAGAAATATTGGAGATGTCACCTGAAAAATCAGATGGAATAGTAGAGGGCATAGATGTAAATGGTGAGTATCCCATACTTGCTTTACTTAAAATTTGAATATTACTGAAGCAGTCTATTTCTTTCTTTAAATTAGTTTTCTATTTTAAGCTCTCTCCATGTATCTTTTTCTTGTTAACCCTGCCTTTAGGACCAAAAGCACAGCTGATGTTGCGGTACCCAGATGGAAAAAGGGAACAGATTACTCTTCCAGAACAAGCTAAACTGCTAGTAAGTATATCTAATCCAGTGAGGGTTACTTGAAATAGCCATGAGATTTTTTATCTGACCTCTAATTAGAAATGTAACTGTGGTGAATCTTAATTTCCTTCCCAAACTATCTTAGGTAAGTCATACAGGTTCTGTTCCAGTCAAGATTTTTTGTGTTGCATGTAATAGATGAGCCCAACTGAAATTATTACCTTGAAAAGAGGAGTTGGGGCCTTCTGGGTTTCCTAGTAGCTGGAACTGCAAAGTGGTTAAGAGTCAAAGCTGTTCGAGTTATGGAAACAACCTAAGTACCCATCAGCAGAGCAGTGGATTAAGAAGATGTGGCACACATATATACAATGGAATATGATCACCTATAGAAAAGATGAACTCTTGCCATTTGTGACTAAATGAATGGAACTGGAGGGGATTATACTAAGTGAAATCAGTCAGAAAAAATACCAGATGATTTCATGTAAATGTGGAATATAAAGAAAACAAACAAAGGAACTGATATAACTAAACCAAAACAAACCCTAGAAGCAATGACTGCACAGTCCAGGCTGCTAGAAGGAGTGGCATGATGTAGGCAGGATCAAAGGAGGGAGGGGGCCCAGGGGCGTAGGGTAAAGGACTATGGGTGCTCTGATGTGCCTTGGGGTAGTGCTATACATCTGAAGCGACATCCCTCTCCTACCCTTTCTCTCTTTTCCTATTCCCGTAAATCATATAAAGTGTTGTAAGCCAATGTTTCCTCAATAAAGAGCAAAAATTTTTAAATCTAAAAATAAAGTATAAAGGCTATTATTTTGTGTGTGTTTTTTAATGTGGGACCTGTTTGGTTTCTGTCTTGTGAGCCTCTGCTTCATACGTTCTTCTCAATATACCCATGGCTTTTGTTCACCTCTTAGCTTGTGCACGGACCATCATGGTGATGTTGAGGGCCTTTCCCTGTCAGGTCCATAGCTGATGGACCTCCTCTGTTTTTCAGCTCCAAAGAGAATGAATCTGACTTGCTTTAGCCTAGCTTATGAATGACTCGCACTTGGGGCAGGTCGCTATTTGCTAAGACTGGAGATTAGGCTGATTCTTACAGACAGACTGGAATATAAGTAGGCTCTACCTGATGGTGCTGATACCCAGACTGTCTCCCTGATCTAGTATTTGGGAGGGAATGGAAGATGAGAAGTTTTGCTGTGAATCTAGAGGAGTGTGGGCAGTAGACAGAAATGAAAAGTTGGTTGAAGGAGAGTGAACATGTTTAAGTCTGACATTGAAGATATCTATTAAAGAAGGAATATTCTGTAGTAACAAGGCTTCTGAGAATGCAGGAAAGCAGTTCGTAAGTGGCAAGATTGGCTGTTGGTAGAATGAGGGACTTCTCTTCCCTGATAAAAAGAGGGAAGGAAAATGATAAAATATTTAAAAATAAGGATAACAATTTTATAAATAGCGATTGAGTTTACTAGGGAAAATAGTAATAGCCCTGTATTTTTCAGTATCACTTAATAGTCCTTAATTATTGGATACAGGTTGGAGTTGATAAAGGAGTTGATATTGGCTCTTCCACAGAGGTAAACTTTGGCTATCTGAAAGAATATCTCATCTGATAAGATAAAATGAGTGTTATGTATTTAATTATTTAGTATGCACTCTCTTTTTATTTCCGTCTAACAACTTTATCTTTCTCTTGTTTCTCATAGGCTCTGGTGAAGCATGTCCAGTCTAAAGGATATCCAAATGAACGTTTTGAACTTCTCACCAACTTCCCTCGAAGGAAACTCTCTCATCTGGACTATGACATTACATTACAAGAGGCAGGCCTTTGTCCTCAAGAGACTGTCTTTGTACAGGAAAGAAATTAACAACATGGCCTGACCTCTCTCAGCCTACCCCTTTTTTCCCTTTTCCTGTGAGATACCATGTCACTGAGTATGCATTTTGGCTCATAGGACCATGGAGCCAAAGTTGGGCAAGCAAGTCACCTGCCTTTTCTTATTTCTTGCTCTTTCCTATAATCAATCTCTTAATTCCTTCTCCCACCTTTTCACCTTTTTCTCTCCTTTCCTATTTTCTTTCTTTCTTTCTTTTTTTTTTTTTTTTGACTTTATCTGGTGACCAAATGGAAGTATAAGGATAAGACCTCCTAGTACTGGCAGCAGGAAATGTGTGTTCCAATAAGTGGTCTCTTGCACAGCACTTTTTCAGGATCAATTGATGTTACTCCTCAGACTCCTTTGGTAAAGGAAAGCCTAGATTTGGAATCAGAACATCCTTTTTTTATAAGCCCATTTTTAGTAGGGAAAAGAAATTCTCTAACAGGCTTTGTTTTGTTGTTTGTGTAGGAAATATCACGAAACAAAATATCTGTGCTTTTGTTTACATGAAAAAAGCATCTTGTAATTATTGCTCATCATATTTAATTTTTTGTTTTTCAAAAAAATTCCCATCTTCATAGCTTAAATAATTTCCATGATAGGTGTTTTTGGCAGAATGAGTATTAAGTATATAGTGTGAGTTGCATGGGGTGGCTTTCAGTATCCTAGCAATATCCTGAGACAGTTTTCTCGAATATTACTCAAACTATACTGATCCTGCTAGTCTTGGACTGGGCATTTAGAGAGCATATTGTGGTGACTGGGATAGGAAGGTGCTTGCTGTTTTTTGCCAGTACAGCATATTATTTCCTTTGATCCTTCCATTGTTTGGGTCCACAAATGATGTATAGGAAGGCAGCTGTTCAATAATCATGTAGTACAATTGCTTGTAGTTGTAACCACTATGATTATCGATTGTCCTATGTGCTTTAAGGCATATTTATGTATGTCCCAGGGGAAAAAAGAAAGCTGCAGCTGAGAGTTGCTAACCATCTTCCTTTGGTTAGAAATGGTTCATTTTTTGCCCCTGGTTGGAAGAGTCTCTAAAAGGTTCTGGTGACTAAATGAGCTTAAATTTCTCATGTTGATTTTTTGCAAAAGGTGTCAAAACTGAAAGCCTATCTAAAGGGAAGATCTCTAAATTCAATTCATAAGACAACATTTACTAAGGGAAGTGGAAAATTACCAGTAATCTTCAGATGTGTGTTTTTTCTGCCAACAAAAGCCACATTCAAATTGTAGTGGGTGAAAGCTTTTTTTTCAGTAGTATTTAGAAGAGACCATCTTGAATCTATATAATGCTATTTGATTTACCAGGTTCGCTATATGCTCAGTTCTTATTTTGAGCTTTAAGTACAGCCCTTTGAACCGTTAGTAATGATTGTGATAGCAAAATCAGAACTTTTAACATGTTTTAAAATTGTAATGTAGAAGGGACCTATTTTGTTAATTGGGGAATTAGATTGATTCTTCTACTTGAGGAACATAAATTGCTAATGTTCAGAGACCTTTAGGCTCCCATCTACTTTAAGATCACTCACTTTGCAACATGAGGGTTTTAAGAAAAAGATGCTTATATGTTGCTAGTACACAATTAGAGAATATGGTTTTAATGGTTGGATTTTGAGGGACCCTACCTAAAGAATGAGTTCTGTATCTCTTCAAGGAAATCATGGAAAATTCTGTTTATTTTTCAGTGAGTCCTTTTGAATTAATGTTCCTACATTTTTTTAAGTCTGTGTAAGTGCTTATGTATAAGTATATAATTGTATAAATATTTATAAATATATTTATATAATTACAATTTCATTTATACCTTGAGTCAAAGTTCTCTCTTTAGATTGGTGACTGAGTAATACCACTTTGGTGTTTTTTTCATAGTCTCTCAAAAGCTAACTAGCAGCTTCTGATTTATTGAGGAAACATGGTTTTCATGTTAATTCCTCATCTGTATCTCTGAACTTGGATAAAATACTTGCTACCTGAAGAATAGAGCTATATTCTATCAAAGGTTCATTAGAGGATAAAAAATATTGCTGGTAGTAGAGAAGGTCAGAAATTCTAAAAATTCAGGGAAGCACAGGGTAAGAAGTGAGGGTATGCTTAGCTTTGGTGCTGTGATGGCACCTATTACCGCTCCCAGCAGAGTCACAGCTAAAGCCCAAATCTATCAAAAATGTCAAGAACTTTCCCGATAGGACTGTTTCATTCTTTTACCTACTAGCTTCTCTTTATAAAAGATGTCTATAGAGAATCTGAAACAACATGATTGTTGACAATAGGATGTAGTTCTCTTTGATAAGCTGAGTCCTGGCATACCATTTATGAGAAACCAAAGTGACTTTTTCAGCTTGGATTACTGTGAGATCACCAAGTATAAATAAAGTGATTTAATTAAGCGTATCAAAGAAATAGGACTTGCAATAATCATCCAACTTAAATACAACTGGAGTATTTAGAGTGTAAGATGTAGAGGATTTTATTTTATTTTGAGTCAAGAGTATAATTATCCTGAATTTTATATAAAGGCCCATGGGGGGAGGGATTATGGATTATACATGCGAAGAGGAAATGAGGAGTATTGCTTTGCTCAAGAACTCAATCCACTTAAAGAGTATGCTTCCTCTAGTTTGTCTTATTTCCCCTGCAAATACCTTTGCTCTTTGGAAGAGAGGTTTTAATGAATAGATTAAGTGTGGTCAGTGAGATTAGTTTAGAATAATCATCCTTGTAGGTATTGGAAACAACTCGAAAGAGATTTTGAAAGGTAAGCAGGAAAAGAACAAGATAGACTTTGAGAGTGATTGAGAGACAAATACCAGGGAGATGAATGAAAAGTAGTAGGGGTGGGAGTGGGGTAGGAACCTCTTTTGGATTTAATTTGGGAATAAACCAGAAAAGGGGAAAAAACAGCCAAATGAGGGAAGAACAGGGATCTAATCTGAGTAATTAGCATGTATGTTTTCTTTTTTTATTCTTCTTGAGAACAATATAAAATGCATATTTTCCCCATTTTATAGATAAAGAAGAAAATTGAATTTCGGAGAACTTTTTCAGAATGTCACAGCTACTAAGTAGCAAAATCAAAATTGGCATCCAGAGTTCATTCTCTTTTCATTTCAGTTCTGTATGGTATCTGATATTGATGAATCAATTTGCCAAAAAGGTTATATTCCCATTGTTTGGCTCTGTAAATTATCATTTGATTTTTTTTCTTATGAAAGCTTGGGTGATTTGCACTAGGCCTATGAAATCTTATTTACACCATTATTTTGAGAGACAAATTACTAATTGCTTTCTTAAATGATGCAGTAATGAAAATGTGAAAGGAAAATGACTGTGGCATTATTTGCCAAGATAAATGGAAAGGGTGAAAAAGAATTTTTTTTATCTTTTTTAAACCATTTCAGAAAACATTATCTTTACGAGCCATCAATATGAGATTATTAAACCCTCTGTGTATTTTATAATCTTCCTTAAAATTTTACATTTATTGAATTCTTAGTCAAAGTTCTGGAAATATCTTGAAATCTAAGATTGGATTCCTGCCTGTTTTATCCAGCTGGAGAGACATAATTTGAGAGTCTGTAAAGTTTACTTTTGGGGACTGAATTAAAATTATAATGGAAATTTGGAAAAGGGAAAGAATAGCGTAGACTTTAGTTAGGAAAGTCGACACAAAAAATAAAACTGACTAGTGGCAAACACTGTGACTCATCTGTTTTCTTTAGTTTCTCCTAATAACTATTAGACTGGGGGCGTGACCTTTCTCAGTAAGAAAGCATAGTACCCAAGTAGGAATGGGTTATTGATCTCAGAACTAAAGAATGGATCTCACTTGGATACTTTGGAAAATGCTAGAAGGAGCCATAATGAACTGAAAAGTGAAGAAAAGACAATTTCTCTACCCAGGTGTACATTATATGCATAGTGTATTACATATAAAATGCAAAAGGAGCACTGTATGTAGGCATACGTGCACTTGGGTAACAGCTACGCTACTTACAGAGAATTGAACTAGCTCAGATCAGTAGTTCTCAGTATTTTCAAGTAAAAGGACTATGTATTTTAAAAATTGGTAGGGATGGGGAATTTTGTGGTTAAGTATTAATATTCCATAGATGGAGAAAGTGTAAATGTGCATATGGAATTGCAACCCCCTTGCAGAAATTCTAGGAATCCGCAGATTGTAAACCACTGGGTAAGATTATCTCTGATGTCCTTTCCACTCCAGAATCTTACACTTTTAGTCATTTTCCTTTATTATCCTTAGGCTAATTAAAAGTATGTTTGTTAAACAGTTCTTTTGCTTTTTATTCTGTGTGCAGGTTTCATTTGCCCTGTTACTTGATCTAACTTCACTGTGATGCTAAAATCTCCAAATAGGAGATATAGTAGTTATTAATCTAGTAATGTTCTTTTAAACAAAATTCAGTAATTTTAAAAAACTTAATGCTGTGTTTCTAATTAGTGCTGAGTGTGACTAAAATGTAATTAATGAGAACCAAATATTTTACTGACACCAGAGTTAAATTTTATCTCTGTGCTTAAACAAGGAACATTACTGGCTGAACAGTTGTTAGGAAATAGATTTGTAGAATTTGTAGAATTCATACTTGCTTTTGGCAGAAACAACTTTTTCAAGATCCATTTAAACTGACATTTTAAAAATACATCTTATCCCATGGAGTGTATCTCTATATTCCGTGTTCAGTTTTCTTCTCTGTCTCTCACACACAGATATCCCCTCTCTCCCTCATTCATTTAACTACTCAATAGTAAATCATGGGATGTAGGTTAATGACTAAGTAATGTCTTCGTAAAATGAGAGTAGGAAGAACTAACCCTTCTGATGAACATGGCAGTTTTCCAGTAACACAAAACTTCATGAAAAGGTTACTTAAAGACAATTGTATGCTGTTAACTTCATTGATATTCTTACTTAGCATTTCAGTTACTATCTTGACATGAAACTGTGTGTGCTCTGTACGCTTTTAGAATAGTGGTAAAAATGTTTTTCTTACCAAGCCACTATGTAAGTTCTCATTATATAGAAATTTGGCATTTAAGTGATGGTTATTTGGTCTTTGACTCCCCTATGTATCATTCCTTCTAGAATCAAGATTTTTTTTTTTTTTTTAAAAAACATTGTGATGATTTGATAGCTTTCCCATGAAGTGAACTCATGTCATTAAATTATTGAGTACAATGATGAGGCCCTTCATTGCAAAATCTCTTAATCCTACTTTGTCATTTTACCTTCCATTCTCTGTTCTAGACTTTTGACATCCATTCTCTGAAAATTAGTCATGATTTTTAATGGAATTTTCACTGTTTAAGAAATTTCATTTGTAAATGTTAACATGTAACATTTTCATTTTCTTACAAGTTAATATGCCAGAGAAGAATTTGAGGCAAATATCATTTTTATCGCTCATTTTCTG